GAGGGGAAAATATTTTCCCTTAATTTGCTTAAGTTAAAAACTACAATGACGCCATGGATAAAACAGCAATAAAGAGACCAAATAAAACCACGAAAAAGCGAATCTAAACAGCGCAAAACAATTTTTAAACTATAGTTCATTGAACCAGGGGGCACCCACGACCGTTTTCTCACAAATGCTTTAAAACGCTGTTTTATGCCATCTGGTGTGCTTTTGAAGCTCCGTACGTTAGGAATTTTAGGCTGCGCTCTAAAATTGTTATCTTTCGGTTATTCTAGGGGAACCCGAGTTCTCGAATTTATTTTTTATTTATTTATTTATTTATTTATTTATTTATTTTGTCCATAATTTTACAGGAAACATTAGGTCTTAATTCCTTACCGAAAATCATCGCTAAAATCATAGCTCAATCCGAAAACAACAAGTGTTAATTTTCTCATATTGCAAATGTTCGAGGTGACAGTTCTCTTAAGCAAACCAGAGGACAGTTAAGGCCTTCCGAACAGATAACTTACCTAAACGATCCCTTGGTTGCCCCTTAATTTGAACCCGCGCCATAGGCCGGCACAACCCGCCTGCTTACGTCTTACCTGCTTTTGCTTTTGCAGCTATAGCCGTGAATGGTAGATGATCAGTTCAACAATACAACTACGAGCCGGAGTTTTCTTTTTTGCTAAAAATGTTAGCCAGAAGCAGCAAAATAACTATATATTGTTCATAGGAAACGAGGGCGTATAGTCTAACCCGGAGGGGGTACTCTCATATAAAAGGACGGCTGTGCTCGTCGGAAATTTTGAAAGTAATCCCTAAGAGGTACCGAGATCCTGCTATGTGGGAGAGGCATGAAATCTTTTTCGCTCCTAAGAAGTACCAATTCTGAAACAACGCATTATCTCTTGCCATCGTTTTTTCGGCTCAAAAGTTACCGCGAAAGCTCTTGCGGTGGACACTGATTTTGAGGCTGAACACCCTTTGAGGTACCAAAACCGCTTTTTAACCCTTAAAAGGTAAGACGAGCACCCCCGTCCTTTTTATATGGGAGTCTTCCCCCCCCCCGGGAAGCCCAATCTTTGTAGTAAAAGCTATGGAGGATAGGCATCCCTGATCATCCCTCACTGAAACCAGCCAAGAATAAACCGGCCCGCGATCCTGGTTTCTCTACGAATATATAGTGACCGAGCGGTGAAAATGATGAAGGAGGGCTTTGGTGCTATTGTTTATAATTCTTTGCCGTCGTTTTGCTATTTTAGCTATCTCTATGGGCCACTGATTGAACTTTCCGTTCTATGTTTGGTCGTTGACGTTAGTCATCCAAAAGTGATTGACATCCAACTTCTCCTTATATCAACGAGACAAGTGTAAGGATTAAAACATATCAGCAGCTAATGATTTGCAGCGATATTCTCGGGGGTAGAAGTTGGCGGGTTATTCAGTGATCAGCGAGGAGAATTAACATGAAGAAAACTTAACAGAGGGTAAAAAATGTGATGCTATAGCTCTTTTTTCTCTTGAATGGCTTGCCAACTTTTCCGCGCTCCTTTTAAGCTCAGAAAAATTCTTCCGTATTTATTTTTCACTCAGTATCGCAAGCGATTTTCAGCTTCTCTGCCGGGATTTTTTAGTACGGACAGTTACCATGGTAACAATGTGAGGATTATCGTTAAAAGTCTTAAAATTTAATGGAGTTGCAGTGATTGCTCGGTTGCTAAAGCACTGTTCAAGCCTGAAAGGTTTCAATTTTTGTTTTTCGCTTTTTGAAGCTGCTTGACAACTGCAATTTTGTCAAAACGAAATCTTTGGATCCGGATCTTCCTTGAACTCTTCGAAATTTTTCGGACGTCTTCGTGAATCTTCGGAAATCCTTGGAAACTGGTCTGAAAAATTTCCTGACACTTTCCATAGGGCTTTGGAAAATCTTCGGGGATCTTCGACCTTTTTCGGGAATAGACGGAAATCGCAAGTATCGGACCGATGTTCGTAAGAACTGTCGATCCCTTTGTAAATCTTTGAACTATAATTGAAAGCCTTCACCGGTCAATCAGACACGGGGAGGGGCTTACTTTCTTATATGGGCTATATAGGTATGTGCGGCCCCAAAGGGTATGGTTTGTCATCTGTTTTGGTCACGTCATAAATAGGGTATCGATTTTAGCTGATTTTGGCCATTTTGGTCATAAACAGGGTATGGTTTTTGCACTCTAGCCTTGATATGGGTATGTTTCTAAGAAGAAGCTACTTCTTCATCATTATCGAAAAGAAAATCAACAAAAGCCCTTCACAAATTATGTTTACGGTAATTTAACATTGGCCTGAACTAGGGAACTAATTATAACGCAGGTCTGAAATAGGGTTTTGATTTAAGGGTCAGGTCATAAATAGGGTTTCGAATTTTTGGTCAGGTCATAAGTAGGATAGGGAATATCGCAGATTTTGGTCATAAATAGGGTAAGGGTTTTGAAATTTTTCTGGGAGTACCCCCGCCCCTCCGATTAGACAATATGTTTTAGTCGAATGTTTCATCGAAAAATTTCAGGCCTGATTTATTTAATCCGGAACATTCAGATAATAAGGTAAGAATTAACAAAAAATTTTGCGCTGACCATCTTATTTGTTAATTTCGGGAAATTAGTTCTGCAGAATATAGCAAACTATGCAATTGTTCGCCATGTTTGCCAAGGAAAGATCAAATCATAAAATGACGTACAAAAACCATTAACATATTCCTCGTTATATCTAATAGCAAAGAAACTCGTTTTTCAAGTTGGGAAACTGTTGCCTTGATGTACCATCAAACACTCAAAGCTATCACAAGGAGAGAACTATCCGGAGCTTTGAGAGCTTCCCATAAACGTATCTTTTTGAAGCGTTCCACTCAAGATTTAATCATCAAGTGTTTTTGAAGAATATCCCGGAAACAAAAGATCGCAAATTGAACAGGGAAGGATGTTTGTACAGGAAATTAAATCGACTATGACTGCCTTTAATCAAGAAATTCAAAATATTATTGGTTGGATATAATTAACAAAGGAAATTTGCCCTGTGAGGTAATTGACAACTCTTGCCCGTGGAAGGACTTTGTTAATTGAGGCTTATCCCACTTAGAGAAAATGAAGTGGAAATTAAATATTACTGGCTATTAAATTCGTTATTCATCTCTTATTTCTCGCGGAGAAGTTATTTTTTTCCCTGTAGACCTTTCATGGTCAAGATTTAGATTAGTCCAGTTTGATTTTTGGTCTCTTTTCGTCATTCTTCAGAACACTGTATATTCCCACATCCAACATAATAAACCATCAGGGGTACTGCGTTAGACAAGGTGGAAAACATTCAGATTTATTAGTAATTTTTTATATGTTAATTCCTCATGCACAATCATTTTATTTCTTCTAAGTAACAATTTTTCTCCACCACCGATCGATACTAAGTTAACAGCTAAACTTGAACGGAGTTTTACAAAAGTACACGGCCATGTTATATCTTTTTGTTTTAATGTTCAGTTCCCTCGCGGTGCTTCGCTTGGAATGAAATTGGCGTATATCGATTAATATACAGGATTTGTGTGGAAGTAAATTTGTCACGGTTTGAAAAATTCAGTTAAGGACGTTTGGCTTTCATGACTAGAAAACAAGATATTTTAGCACTCAGTTCAGTGCTAAGTACACTGAGATGGAGATATTAGATTGTCTAAAAAAAATTGACAAGCTGCTATAGATTCTCAATTTAACCGAGCGCTATATTAAACGCAATCCAACCTCGCACATTGTTCCCAATGAGAACTTTCCATCGTGTAAGGCCTGTACCCATTCATCTTATTTCCAAACGAGATAATTACGGTCCATTAATGTCTGTCATATTTCAAATCACAAATCTAGTTTTGTACTCAGTTCAATGCATTCAACTCAAAAGGGATCCATTACCATCAAGATATACTACTTGAATTCACAGAAGTGCCGCGATACAGCGGTTAAGACGCAAAATATATCTTTCTTAATAGTCTATTTTTGTATCGCTAACAATAACCGCACTAAAACATCTGAGCAGAATTCCATAGCTTTTGTTTCAGTATAGCCTTTGTTCTCACTTCAAAAGGCAATTTATTTAAACTATTCACAGCAAAACAACAACCGTGCTCAAACCACCGTAGCGAATAAAAAGGTACCAGGTTGAAGCGACAAAAGTCCGTCTCGCTCCCGTTATCGACAGCAGTAAAAGAATAGGAGTGCAAAGGTTAAAATTATTTTTACAAATTGAAATTATCGCGTTTTATTTACAGTTGCTTGGGAATTTCTTGGCCGGCTCTAAGCGATACAGGCATTGCATGTGACGGTTTGAGAACACTTTGTAATATTTTCCTTGTTCCTGTGGGAAAATAGTGAGAACATCGTATGGTAAGATATCTAAAGTAAAGCTTGATAAGACAGAGTTAAATATGAAAGATTTAGATGAAAAATTTAAGCGTAAGTCTTATACACATTTAAAGTCGAATATATATATTTTTTACTCGATCAACTCGATCTGCCCCAGGGCTACAAGTTGTTTATTTTTAAATTTTACGTTGAGGAACTTCTGACCTTAGTTTCACGAGTTAATTTAATTTTGCCTTTGTGCTAAATAAAAGAGTTTTAAGCTCCGCAGATGCAGTAAATGTACAATTCTGTCGTTGGCGTAAAATTTTTCATCTACTCCCACACCCAAATTCTACGAAATTTTGTAAACAAAGATAGGATACTCGTCTGAAAAATAGTCGACTAAAATACCCTTGCTCAATTTACCTAGACAAATAATAAAATTCTCAAGCATAACAACGTGTTCATCAGCTTCGCTTTTAAGCTTATCCTTTGATACTTGATGCCAGGAGTATTTTAAATCCGTATTTCTAACTTTACTTAGAAAAGAACAGGTATCCTTTGCCACCCGTTTTGAAAACACGTGTAATAGTAAGTGTTCCGGTGCTAACTACGAAAAGTCTCCTAAAAAATGAAACTTACGTATAAATGATTTCATGTCTGTCCCGCAACCCATGTTGTCATGTTTTTGCACTCGTTTTCCGTGTTCGCCACCGATTCGGCCGTCATGGAATCGTGTTCAGTTATAAGATCTTGTAGATGTTTTATATAAGCCACTGCAGACCGTAGAGTCTCTACTTTGGACAGTTTCTTTTTGTCTGGGAAATAAGGAATATGCTGTCGGAGGCACGAAAATCCGTCGTTCACCATTCGAACTCTGTTTCGCTCGCGCTCGTTTCTCCTCGCCACTGCGGAGGGTTCCATTTGAAACGCTAGACTCGCGGTAACGCACGTTTTCTTTTTTGAACGTTTCCTGATAAGTTCGCCGTCTTTGCACTCGTCCGTTGGTCGAGACCTTTTCCTGCCGAGTAGCAAGAGGTCTTTTGCCTTTAAATCACGTCGTGTAGATTCAACAGATAGTTTCAACAATTCAGACACGCTCTCTTTAGAAACCTCGAAATCCTGGGCGCGTTTAATATCCATTTCTCGTCTAAGCGCGGACGTTTTAAAATCTAGTTCAGTTCTCCGCGCAAAGCCAATCCGATGTCAAAAACTAATAACACAACTCAGGGGCTATTTACCAGTTCTCATGCATAATTTATATTCTTTTGTTGGGTAAATCCTATCTTTATGCGAATTGGGGAGAAGTGCCGGATACAAACAGTCTTTTATGTCGCATTGCCTACGTCATAAAATCTCTTCACAAACAAAAGAAATTTAAGAAACTGGACCAAGTCGGTTCTTTGAATTTTCCATTCACAAGATATACCATCGAACAAATTGCTCATTTTATGACCGACTAAGTATTAAATGTTTTGTGTTGTCATCCTTAAATTAAACATTGATTTAATATTTTTCCTCTAAACGACAAGCTCGTCAATTAAAAAATGCCTTATGTAGTTTTTATCTTGGCGCAGAATCACAGTTCCTTTCTTGATCAAACCTGATTAACGAAGGAGGCTAGCAAGGAGCCAATGAAAACCGTTCTTCTTAACTGTGTATACTATTTTGTATGCTAGTAGAGATAGTCTCGCTACATTTTGATTTATTAAGAAAAAATAGTTTGTTTGCTTTGATATACATATCTCTTTAAGAATTATTCAATTATATCGTGCCTTAAAAGGCAGCAGGTGCTGGGTCGCCATAAGGTTCTTTCTCCCAAGCACAAAAGAAATTTAATGAGATGTTTGTGCAAGCCTTTCAATGGACCAAGTCTCTTGCGTGGCTTTTAAGAAATACCGCAAGATACCTTTGATAATATAGTGGTAGGACAGATGAAGTGAGATTCAATTCGACAGTCGGCAATCGATATGATCAGTCGAGCTCGCAGCAGGTATCGTATATCTTAATTTCTGAAGTGTTTGTTCACCGAGGAATCGGGCGATAACGAGTTTTATTTCCAGGTGATAATAGTAAAATGTGAATGAGCTGTGGGTGAATTTCTTCGTGTGAGCCACTTACGAGATACGCCCAAGGCAATAATGGCTTGTTCCGAGACTTCTTCATTTAGTCTGGTGGTGAAGTTCTTTCGCATCACTTGACTTGTCAAAGTAGACAGGGCGAACGCGACAGCACATCCCTTAAACTGTCATTAGCTGGTTAATAAAACGTTAAAACGATATCTGTCAATCAAATGGCACAAAAGTATCCTGATAACTGGAAAGACGTTTTAATGTTTTTCTTTTACGTTCTCATCTTTAGTTTGACTTGATGCTGTCCAAGCGGTTATCAGTCAGAGTTCTTAGCAGCTGATATGATTTCCTTGGAAACCAGTCGCCCTTGAATTGAGTGAGTGAATAACTCCAAGATGACCGACCCGGTCGCTAATTATAACTCGTCTGATTTTCTTGGGCAGCAGTCATTTAACAAGAGAGCAGATCCTATTTTGCAGCCCGTTATAAGCAAATGCAACGCTCTTGAAGATTATGGCAAAAAAGACCCTACGTATGCATCTTGGATGGTTTCTTCACAATTGGGAGACTGGAACGAACAAGGCCAATTGAAAACTATTAGAATTACCGGAAAGTGAAAATAATTTTACGTCTCTTCTTAAATTTATCTCCCTTCTTCTATGACTGTCTTGTTTAGTCAGGATTTGGTGAGAAAAACTTGTCGAATAGTTTTAGCTCTCAAATAATGAAGAAACAGGCTCAAAAGGTTTTTTTTAAAAAAAAAAAAAAAAATCATGTACAAATACCGTAATTGAACTTAAGCCTGACGTAGAACAAGAAATGATGATTGTATCTTGCGTAGAAGCAACAACAACGGCAGAACAAATCCCACCCGAGCAGGCGTTACTTGGCCAGTTCGGTTCACCTTTAGGGGATGAGAATAATAGAGACAAGCCATCAAGTTAACCAGTTAATTTAGCTCATGGATGCGTCTTTTCTTAATGTGCGACTCTTCAGAAGAAGAGTGAACTTTGTGACTATTAGCCACGAAACGCCCACGAAGTTCAGTCTACGGTAGCCTTATGTACCTATCATGGGCTCTATAATATGACCACATCTTCGACAAGATCGGATGCGCTGTGACAAGATACGTAAGGAAAAGAATACTGAACAAAAACAGATACAAAAGAGACAGCAAAAACAACGTTGTTGACAATGAAAATAAAGAGACGAAATTTGAAGAGTTGATGGTACACGTGGTTGAGGTAAGTAGGAGGCGGTGTGGGCCAGTCGGAGGCGGTAGGGGATATAACATGGTGACATGCACTAGTTAAACAATAGAGTGTTTCTGTCGAGGAACTATCGGCTGATAGTTGCCCCGCGGAAATTTGATGTTCTTAAAACAAATATTTGCCCGAGAAGCGAAGCGTCGAGGGCAAATATGCTAGTTTTAAGAACATCAAATTTCCAAGGGGCAACTATCAGACCGATAGTTCCGAGACATAAACACTCTATTGACTTTATTGTTCACCACTAAATTTTCTTCCGCGCGCTACTTCAAAAATCATATTGATTATTTTCAAGTTTTTCAGATGAAAGCCGTGAAAGCCAAATGTAAAATTTGAAAAAGAAAACCGACAAAAACCCACTTAATACAATTTAAATTGTTTATTTTCTATAAACCCGCTTGTTTACAGAAAAAGTTTCACGGACGAGTACTATCCATCCGGGTATTTTCCGCGGACGGGCACTATGAGCTGATAGTGTCTCTCCGCGGACGAACAATATCGCGTCACGTGATCGATTTAAACCAATAGCAATCGGAGAAAATTTAGTGGTGAACTATAACTAGCAGACTAAAAGCAGTCCGTTTTTGTTCCTGAAATCCCGCGCGCGATTGAAAAGGTTAAAACTATGCAAATAAGGAAAAGAAGCGAGAGGGGAATGAGGCAAGACAAAATAAAAGCTTTTCCTTCTTTCTCGTCCCTCCATCGTTCATCCTTTGCCTCGCATTCGTGCATTCGTGTCGCACGGTAGGAAAAGAAAAAGACTGCTTTCAGTCTAACGCGGTCACTTCCTGTTTACAGCCAGGACCTGACTCGCACCGTCAGTAGTTGACATTTTTTGCACATTTAAGTGACTATAGAAAGAGGGCTCTTCCCGTCATATTAACAATAGTATAATATTTAGCGTTTTTACTGCAAAAACGCTTACTTGTTCATTACATTTACACAGGAAGTGACTGTGATCCATATCATAGTCTCTCGCCTTCATTCTATCATCACCAAAAAAATGTACAAAAACTGTCAAGTGATCACGGTTCGAGTGTCCTTACAGTACTCTCGTCTTTGTTTGACAAATTTTATGCATGTCTTTTCTTAGGAGAGGGAACGTCTAGTCTGGGAACAACGACAATGTGTTTCCCGACACCACCCCTGTAGGGCTGTTATTAGTCCGTTCACTCGTTCTCATTTCACAGCTTCCTTCCTTTTGTAACGCCTGTTGGATTTTGCTGATCGCGAGGAAAGGCATTTGTGAGGATAATGTTTTGTATCTGAGTTTCTAATTTTAAGGTGAACATATAACCAGGATAAGTGGTCTTCTATGTTGCTATAATTCATAAGTTAGTATTTTCCTTTTCTTTGTGTCGCGATATGACAAATAGGTTGTGGGTAACGAACCAATTTGAAGCATTGGCGCCATTTTTGATGAGCTAACATATAATTTCGTCGGTTTAACTGTTGGTAGCGAACATGAAGCGAACTCAAACGTAGCGAACTCGACAGAGAGCGAAACCGGCTGTTACCATTTCGTCTAGTAAGTTAATCAGTCGTGAAGAGCTGAGCACTTTCTCTCGTTTTCTCTAATTTTGTGTCATCGCTTTTTTTTTGTAGAGACAGGATGCCATTGGGGAATCAAGCAGTACCAAGCACGTTTTCATTTGAAAGTGTTCAAGATGTGAAAGTTGTGGAGTTTTGTCCATTTGACACCGCAGCAGGTCTTATTACTTATGGTGGTGACGACAGAGTAGCTTTGGGCATGTGTCTTTTCCAAGAAGAGGCTCAAGATAGCCATCTTCCTGTCTTGCAGTTTCAGCACATCACAGATTTTCACCACGGTACAAGTGTTCATTCTATTGCTTGGTCTCCTAACACGAACGTCCAACATTTACCTTATTCTTTTCAGTAAGTAACATATTTTATGATATAGCTCTAATTCTGGAAAATTATATAAAAATCGTGCCATATGAACCGAACTGCCTTTCTTTATTCAGGGCGTAACCAATCGATGAAATCGATAATCGATGACAATCAATGGCAATCGATGCCAATTAATCGACTGATATTGATAACCAATGAGCAATCGATCGTACAGGTTGGTGTGATTATCGATTGTCATTGATTGTCATCGATTTTCATTGATTGGCATTGATTTTCATCGATTATCAATATTAATTGATTAATTGGCATCAATTGCCATTGATTGTTGATAGATAATTTGTCAGTCATGATTTCTAAAGGGCACAATCTCTTGATGTATTTTAATGATAAAAACAACGACAGTCTAGGACATTGGAAGAAGATCAGGTTATATACAACACTGATGATTAGCTTAACTGAATAAAGTTTACGGAAAGTTGCACAGCATTAACGTGCGTCTTTTCAAAGTTACAACAATCTAATATTATTAAAGTACAATAAAATTGAACTTTGGATCCTCAAACATTGAGAGCATAACCTGTAAATGCTTACAATTTAAATCAAACATTTAAAAAAGACCACACAGCAATTAAATTTGTAAGGCATGTTTCGGATACTCAGTATCCATCTTCAGTTAAAGGATGTTTACAAGTGAGTGACTGTATATAAAGTAGGTAACAGTAGGTGTAAATTACAAAATGTAGAATAATAATACAAATCAGTGAAAAAGTTACATAATACTTGAGGGATACAAAAAGGTGCGATGCTACTCAAAATCGCCCGTGCGACCCAGCAACTTGGACTTGAATTGCGAGAAACTATGACCTTACACTAGACCTAAGGCAAAAACGACATCATCTTTTTTTCTAAGAGCTGTGTACACAGTTCACCACATTTCGAAGACATTCTCAGAGTGATCAAAATTGCAGTTGATTGTAGTGCAAATGCTACAAAACGCAATGGAATTGCGATATAAATTTGCACAATAATCACCTGTACACTTGGGCCTTATTAATTGATAGAGTGTTAACTGTCGGGCAAATCTCGGGACGACGTAACTATTCAGCTGATGAGACAGTGCAGTAAAAGACAGTATCAGGAAAAGCTTTTAAAGCCCAATCAATGGCAATCAATGATTTGTGACTGCTTTTGTGTGATTATCGATTGGTCATCGATTGGCCGATATCAATCAATACCAATAAATATTAAACTAACTTGCATTAATTGGTATCGATTGATCTATTGCTTTTACGATCATCGATTCTCAACCATTGGTTACGCCCTGTTCATTAGGTTGCAGGGAAATTATGAATAAGAAACTAGAAGGACCTTGTAGGACATTTTAAATGGTTTGCTGTGAGCAATGCCTCCTCCCTCCTGGGGGGTGGGGTACTCCCAGAAAAATTGGGTGGTTCCCAAAACCCTTACCCTATTTAAGACCAAAATCTGTGATTTATTAAAGACCTGACCCCTAAATCAATATCAGTCCTTTCTTCAGCCCTGTCTTATAAATTAGTTCTTTAATTCAGACCAATATTAAAGACATTGCAAAGGTTTTCGTGTTGATGGTTTTAGTGATAAATGATGAAAAAGTAGCTTCTTCTAAAAAAACATGCCTAATTCAAGACAAGAATACAAAAACCATATTCTATGTAACACCAGAATGACCAGAATTAATGCCATGTTTCTTACCGGCAAAAACATCATACGCAATGCCCCCCCCCCCCCCCCCCCCCCCACCACCCCTGTCTTGTCCATACTGCCCTTTAGTTTTGTGTTTACGTTCAAAGGAATAAAAGTTTGTTGGTCCCTAAGCGAAATGAGAAGCAGTCTACACCATNCTCCCCCCCTCTCCCGCCTTTCTCCCTGAGAGCAATGGAATAAATTAAATAAAAGTTGATTAAATTTTGTACCTTGGCATTTGCATCCTAAATTAATTTTATTAAAAGAATGAAAGCTTTCTACATACAGGCGTACACTTTTCTTAAAATTCTAAGCTGCTAAAGATCACGCGTGTGACATTTCTGACCCCTTGGATGGCCATCTTAAGAGTGGAATGATGTTTAGTGTGTAACGTGGACTCAAGTCAAAGAAGTTCACATTACCAGAGCTTATCCTGGCTCTTGTTGGATGAAATTGTTAGGTGAACCTGATCTCTTGATCCAAAATCTAATGCATTAGTCATTGAGCCACTGCATCTCCTCTGTAGAAGAATTTAATAGTTAAATTTCCTTGAATGATAAGTTTTGTTTCCTTGTTCCTCCTTTACCTTAGATAGAAACGGAGAGATTTTAATTCAGTCTGTTTTAGTTGAGACCAATCATAATGTAATCGTGGGATCTTTTTTACATTTTGAAAGTTATTAATTTTAATAAATTCATTTTTTGCTGGAATTTATATTAGGTTTTGTACAGCTGGAGATGACAGAAAGCTTCGCTATTTTGTATCTGATGGTAGGAGTTCATCATCAGTAACAGTTTTGGAAGGACATCTAAGTTACATCAATGACTGTGTCATTGAACCAATTTCTGGTCTTGATGTTGCTAGTGTCAGTGGTGAGTATTAATCTTATCTAGTAAACAATTTTTTGTTTTAAGTAGATCTATGACAATGAGCTAAAACACTAATTGGCTTAAATGTCTCATTCTTCATTTTGCTGTTGACATCTGCTTCCGATTGACTCATGTTAATTTTGTTTTCTTATCACCTCCTTTTCTATTTTTCTCTTGAATGAAATGAATTTTTCACCTTATCAAATGATAATTTCTTGGAGACCTCTATAAAGGGGCCACTTGCCCATTTTCTAGGGGTGGTCACTTAGTAAAAGCTTGTGCTTGTACTGCACTTCAACTTTAAATTCATGAAGAGTTATTTAGACTCCAGAAAATTAATTTAATAGAAAATCATACAAGCAAAAATAATAATAATTTATTATAACTCTCAGTTACTATGATTTTGATTTCTAGATGATCATACTTGTCGTTTATGGGATCTGGAGACTGGAACACAAAAAACTTCCATTCCTCTTGGCTCAGCAGGAGTTAGTGTTAAGTGGAATCCCAGTGAACCAAACAAGGTTTGGCAAATAAAGTAAAATATTAACTTGTGTGCAGTACCCTGAAAAACACTTCTGTTGTAAATTAGAAAAGTTAATTAATTATTAATAGTCTCAAAGCCACAAATTAAATTAAATCCAATTGATCATCATAGACTAGATGCTGAAAATACTTCTGTAGTTTTCTGGCTGTTGTTTATGAGGGAACTATATCTCTTAGCTTGTCTTTGACTGCATATTTTTTTCCTTCCCAACTACATTGTAAGACATATTATATACATTGTAAGCTAAATTTGTTATTCCACTCCCAAGAGAGCACTACAGTAACAGATATCTTAAATTTCATAGCATCTTCAACTGTTTGTTTTGTGCTGCAGAATTTAAAAAGCTTTTCAAGATGGTGCACATATCTCTCTAGTTGCATCTAATTCTCAGCTCTGTATATGAGATGTGCCTGCAAGGATCAATCATATCTTCAAAACAAGAAGTCTATGATGTTTCATTGTCAAATTACAACTTGCATGATTTGTGGCAGACATATCTCACAGAGAGAACTGGGCATAAGTATCTCCCGTCACAGATGAGTGGAGCCCTGTGTTCTACAATTTATTGTATATCATTTCCAACAGCTTATGGTAGCAGAAAAGAATGGAATTATAAGATTTTATGACCTGGTCAGTCAACAACCCATCATGTCACTCAGTGCTGGACAAGTGCCCCTGATCTCAGCCGACTGGTGTAAAACTAATGCGTTAAAAGTTGGCGCAGTTGCTAGTGATGACTGGCTTATATGGGATATGTCCAAATCAAGGTATGTAACCCTTAAGTTTGTTCCAGATAATATCTATACCCCTCCCCTGAAAGGTGTTTTGGTATTAACCTTCCCATACCTCTCGAAAAATTTTGGCTTTTGATACCCCCTTCCGCTGGTAAATTGTAATAACCTTCCTTGGGGTGGTTATGGATAATTTCTGGAACTGCACATTATTGAGGAACACATCAGTTATTATTGAATTTATAATATTCATATCTTCAATAGCTTGGGTTGAGGTTTGTTGTTTGACAGTCACAGTGTTGTTGGGTGAGGATGTAATTTCAATCCATGCTCTGATTTGCTTTACAGTTTACCCGAGGTTACAGACCAGGCTCATTCAAAAGGAGTGTGCAAATTTAGGTAACTCAATGATACCTTCAGGGTTAGGTACCAGGCAAATTGACCAGCTGTAAGGATAATTTTGCCCACCTTGTTTGACTATCTAGAGGAAAATGTTTTCTTATAAAGAAATTCAGGTCAAATAGTTTTGCCTGCCTGTGAAAACCAGTTGCTCTGCTGCTGAAAACATATATTTAATGGAACCCCTGAATCTGTTCAGTGTAAATATTTTCATTAAGACGCTGGCTGGTATTTTTCTTGCTCTGTCACCAAGCTAAATCCTAATCTGATAGAACATTATTGGAATGATGAACATAAAACACTCTACATCACACAAAGCTTCTTGAGTCTCTACCCTAGAATCACATTCTTACAAGCTATGAAATGGTGTCAACTGTGCATAAATGGTCGGGATGTACATGTGCAGACCCCCACCAGTTTCCACTATTTTCAGAAATCTGTTAGTTTTTTCAGAATGACCCAGAAACCCTGGAAAAGGGTTTTAGGGAGTTGAAATCCAAAACATTTCTCGGCAGAGCATGGCCCCAGACTCTTGGCACCTCTTGTTTTGGAAACTGATCGCCATTCATCCTTGATCTGTGCCTGATGTATTTACCAGTAGGCAACTTTAGCTTGTTTTCTATTATGCAGGTGGTCAAATGTTCACGAGAATTTTTTTGCCACAACTGGTCGTCCTGGGAACTACATCAATGTCTACCACATGGAACACCGCAAGGTTAGTTAAATTAATAATTTACATGTTTGCTAAGTGCCTATAGCTAACAGTGTGTACAATTTTGTACCACATTGTAGCTACATGTGTTTGACTACAGTCATACTGTCAAAATGTTAAGTACTGCCTAAGTGATGAGCAGTACATTTCAGCATTATGAAATACCAAAAACAAAATACAGAACATCACTTTTTTGAACTTGGCTATCTCAAACCCTAAATTATCTTCCCTTGATTATACTTCTCAGTTATTTACCAGTGACGGATATAGGGGAGGGGCCCAGGGGTCTCCCCCCCCCCCTTACTTTGGGTAAAAAAAATCGCAGAGGGAAGAAAAGCTGGCAGGGCAACCAAAAATAACTGGGCCCCCACCTTAGCTTAAGGTCTGGATCCACCACTGTGTACTCTATTAGCTATCTCAAACTACCACTATTTTCAGTTCCCTGGGGTTTCAAGATCAGCTGTCACTATACTCACTTTAGATACCCAACCCAAAGAAGAGCATATTTATTTTATAACACCACGTTTAGATTACCAGTAATAAGTCATCCAGGAATATTATGAAGAAGACTTCTAAAATGAGAAAACAATTTTCTTTTGTACAGTCCAATTCATGACAGTCTGTGAAAAAAGTGTTCCTTTTTATCACATTTCACAGATCAGACTGCCAAAATACCGGGGTAATACAAGTCATGTTTTGAGTTGACAACCCTGTAGCTGAGCAAAGAACTCAGTATTCACTTTGTTTTTTTTTGGATAGATGCCAGTCTCATGTCAGATGCAGACTGGAGGAGGTCTTTCTTGGCACCCTTCACTGCCCCTGTGTGCAACAGGTGGAGGAAACAAGGTTCACTTGTGGTTCTTAGAAGTGTAACAAGGCGTGGATTTATCACCAAGGAGAAGAGAAACAAACATTATCAGTGTACAGTTATCTGTAAAGATCAACCATTTTAGTGACATGCCTCCCTCTAATATATCTCAGTTAGAGCATGGCTGTTTGATCTGCTATGGAGAGGGAATGTTACACTGTATACCTTGGCTGTTCTTTTCAGGAATTACTATTCATGAAGCAAATTTACAAGGAATTTCTCTTTTAAAATATTATTGACCAAGATCCTGTGTTGACCACACTTGTTCATTTAGCATGAGTGGATATTGAACGGTCGAGTATTTGCCTGTTTATGGTCCTTGACTGCATCCCAGTCTAAACACCTACAGAAAAGAATTTGGCCAATATCCAGCCATCTTGACCTCATGCTTAGTCAATAGCCTATATACATGTTTTCCATGAGACAAACATTGACGAATACTAGATATTTTTATCACTGCACACCACATTAATTATTTGTGTTGGACAAAATGTTTGATATGGTCACTGTAATCACTTAGCATAACCCACTGACTATTAGGTAGATGTGTGACCTGATGGGATACACAGGAACTCTAACATTATTGAGACATGTTATTGGGAACTGGGCAAACTTTGAATGGCTGAGAATAAATTTTTATATTTGATGAAGTTCCTGAGATATGTATGTTTTTTTTTTTTGTTTCATTGATGGATGAGTCCCTAGGTTATGCTAAAACAGTTAAATGGCTTCCTTGGTTTCTATCAAAATTTGAAAACTGGGTCTGTTGGAACCCTTTTCATACAGTGCAGGCATATGATATTTAAAAGAAGTGATATGTAACTAATCAAAGTAATACATTTCTTGCAAACACCATCAAGTTTAATAATTATATGATTCCAAAGTTGTCTGATTTCAAGGCATTGGGTGGAAAGTGGAAACATTTTTTTTTCTCTCTGATGACTCAACTTTTCCTAATTTTTTGGCTGAAAGACCATGTTCTCTTTTTGTAGATTGAAATATAAGACCAACATGTTTGGAAGAACTTATTATTTAAAACCTGTGCTTAAAGCTGAAGTTGTTCTAAAAAAAGCTACCACATCCTTTCAGTTTCTATAACTGCTCCTTAATATTCCTTTTACTACTTGTAATCATAGCTTAACAAACAATGTAAAGAAGACTGAAACTTTTGAAGTTTTGTTTCATGTAAGACATCACAAAATGTAAACATTTTGCAACTACTTACAGGAAGTAAATTCAAAGTTTCAAAACAACTGCCATTATGGATGTAAAGCGGTCAAAGCTTTATGCTTCATTCTTTCTCATATCACTTGNGTTTTGTTTCATGTAAGACATCACGAAATGTGAACATTTCGCGACTAATTACATCAAGTAAATACAAAGTTTTCTGTCAACCGCCATCATGGACGCGAAGCTTTATGTTTCGTTCTTTCTCGTATCACGTGATGAAACAACTTCGCAGCTGTAAAAATCAATGAAGCTGTTGGAAAAAGAATTTGAAAGGCCTCAAAGATAAGGTATGTGGTTTGTAACGAATAACATCAATTCACATTCCATCGAGTGAGATTTATAATGTATATAAACATTAGGGTGCCGAGACTGCACAGTACGGACTGGAAATAATCTTTAAATCACGTCGAGATTCAAAACATTGTTCAAGAAGTCATAGTCAGCTTATGTTTACATTAACTGATTTTAAAAATGTTTCACGTTTGGTGTAACGTAAAGTATGTCTCAATTATGAAACCAGCCAGTGAAAACTGTCCTTACTTAAAAACTCAAAAAAGTGTTAACAGTAAAACGCAGACTGCCGGAAGTCCAAAACAACACCACCTCTGGATGGTCAACTCCATGTTATTCCATGATCATCAACTAAAATCTCTTTACTGTTCTCATACCTTACTTATCATCTGCCTTAAGAGAATTTGATTTTCCAGGGAAGACATTTTTCTCTGAGATGATCAGATCGTCAATTCTCACAACCTGGCTGCTTAAATTTGTTACTAACAGGTAATGAGAAGTTATGTTTAGGTCACTGAGGATATTTATAGAGATCCTGTCATGCACTTGAAGCAGTTAAGTTACGATATATAAAGTGGTTTCTATTACTATTAATATTAAAAATTGCCTTCATTTCGAAGGAATCACAAAATTCTAGTTTACTGAGGTGTAAAAACACTAAAGAATTGAAACGGACTAAGAAAGACGAACTTGAAAAATTAAGGCACTGGAAAAGCGCCATCTTCAAGCTTCTTTCTTGCGACTTTGCAACACGCAAGATGGCGGTTCAATTGCTATTTCTAGCGAGGTCCAGAGATCTCCAGCAGGCGAAAAAAACAACGACCAAACAGCCCTTATCCTTTAAATAATTTTATACAAAGTGCTTGTAGCAATGATTAGATATGCTCTTTCAAAGATAAAAACACTGTCCGCCACATGAATTCACATATACCCTGCATCTTGCTAACAAACATTTCCTTTCTTTACCAAGTTCCTTCCTTCTCCGAGAACATTCGAGCTGGTCACATGATCTGCATTTACCCCGTTTCTCCACGCACGTCTTGGAGCCGTACTTCCATTTTGTCATTGCCGACAAGGCGTGTTTCATTAAATTCACGTCCTTTCCTAAAGAACACAAAAGAGAAAAAGTCAACGTGAAGCCTAACTTCACACGAACGTGACCCACAACATTGGAGATTACACCAGTGGGGCTAGGAGTATTTCTACTCCCCCCTGGATGGGATGCCAGTCCATCCCAGGGTTACCCCCCAGCATGAAATCGCGGGTACCATACACACGGGTCGCGTTGTTCAAAGCACGATTGAGGTAACCCAGGATTATCGAGAATTTTGATTTTAGTTTTGTAACTTTTCGGTGAAGTTTTCTATATATTGTTTGTCCTTCATTTTTGAGTCTGAATAATCTCACACTACACAAGACATAAGCAGTGAAAAACATTTTTATACTTCGGTTAACTTTTAATCTTGGGTTAGCATTAAATGGTCTTCGAACAGCCCAGCCCTGGGTCGAGAGAGACACTGTGAGAGTACAGTGTCTTGCCCAAGAACACAACACAATGTCCCTGGCCAGGGCTTGGACCCGGACCGCTCGATCCGGAGACGAGCGCACACTAACCATGAGGCCACCGCACACACCACACCCAAGAGTGGACAAAAGCTAAAAAAAAATTGAGACATTTGGGAGTTTAAGAAAACCACGACGGCAAACGTCCTCTGCCAAACAACAACATTAAAAGACCAAATTCTGCGTTGTCTGGAGAACGTGAGCCACGACGGCTTTTTATTTTTATCTTTTATTCCAAATTTATCGCTGTGTCCCTTATTCAGTTTCGTGGCAGTATTGAGCGACAAACAAAGTAAATGACTGTANGTTTGTAGTTTACTCTAATAGGCAATTATTCGCATTCTTAGTATTGATCTGGAACTAATTGCAACCAACATTTTACCGTTTTCATTTTATACCTGATTACGACAACAGTATTTTTCAATTGAATCATTACTGTACGCAAGGGACTCATTCTAAAAGTTTTGCACATCCACAAATTACAGATTTCAATTAAATATACAGCATAAACTCACTGTGAACTGTTGTACATCATGGGTTGGCCTGCGAAGGACTGGACCCCAGTGTAGCTGGGATGCTGTACATTCATGCCAGGTACAAAACCAGCTGTTGACTGTGGGCTCATGCCAGATGCGACCATATTAGGTTGAGGGACTGGAGCCATAGGACCTTGCACACCTGAACATATATCACGTTCACAAGTTAAGAAGGAAAGCACAAGGGAGGGGTGACGTGGGAAGCAGGACTGCAAGAAGTTGCTTCAGGGAGGTGGAGACTACAAAAGTTAAATAATGCATAGGTGCTGATGGTGTTATATTGCTATGCCTTTTATTGATATGCGAAATCTGACATAATTTAGAACCCAAATAACGGTTGTTTTTACAAGGCCATCAATCACCTTGCAGATGTCTCAGAAAAGACGTTACTGCACCTGGTTGAAAAAGTCACATCTGCAGATTCCAATTGGTGGATTTTAATTCATTTTGTCAGTTTGTTTGTTT